CAGATTAAGAACAAGAGGAGAGCTGTGTGTGTGTGTGTGTGTGTGTGTGTGTGTGTGTGTGTGTCACATTGCATTAGCGAAGCTTTAGCAGTGTTTAACATGTCAGGACAGGAGCTTAGCAAAGCTCCTCTTTGCCATATTTAATTTCCTTTCTTATCCACCGGATCTGAGCTTAAGACACCCAAGACCTGCAGGAACTGCTTAGAAAAGTCCACGCTGGGAATTGGTATCAATCAATCTCGATTTATGCACTTTTGGTTTTGCAAACTGCTCAGGAACACAGGGGACGCTCATACACACTCAGTTGTTGTCCTGTTTGTGGTCTCACGAGGCTGTGATTGTCCTCTATGTCACAACAGGTCACTTTGTGCGGTTATTTCTAGAATACGCTAAGGGGGAGAGACCTCCATACAGGGTAGTGGGAAGCGCACCGCGTGTGTTAGATATGTTGTGTTACACCAGTCATGTCTGTATATGTATGATCGTTGCAGGTTTGATTGTTCAGCAAAAATGTCAATATTGATGTGATCATGTGATGCTCTTCTGTGCTTATCTTTCTGGGAGGAATACGGACTCTTGGGCTCACTTTTGCTTTAGTTTCAACTTAAATCTTATGAATTTTAATGGAGATGACTGAGCTCCATCGAGTCTTAAATGTCTCCGTACCGGAAGACTTTTGTACTGTTGTGACTTGGCTGGAATCATTCCAATAATCGAAATAATCCCAAACATGAGAGAACACGGCAGGTGGTTTGGTAAACGTGTGTCTTATCACTTCCAGCTGTGCGGTAATAATGCCCTGAGGGGTAACGGGGTGTGAGGTATATACAGCAGTGTGTTATTCGCTATGTACTGAAGAAAAGCTCTTTATTGAGAACTCCCTCAGAAGGAGGATGGGACACGCTGTCCTTCACATCCTCTGTAGTAGAAATCAAATAACACAAGAAGAGACCCGCAGGGTGATGTGGGGAGGTTAAAGTGTTGAAGTGAGTGTAGACAATAACATTATCAATGATAAAAACAGTACAATCATTTGAATGTCATACAGCAGCATCCCACTGGACGACGCAAGGGTTCAGAATACAAACAAAAACCGACTCAGGCCATAGTTTACAGTTTTATTCTACTCCATTCATTTTGGGCAATTGAGACACTGCGGCGAGTCCCGTCCTTTCCTCCCCAGTGCGTCCGGCGTCCTCAATGACACAGCGCAGAGTGAACTCTGCACTCCGTATTCAGCAGAAAATATGCTACGGTTAACAAAAACTCACTTTAGCGTTGTCTAATGTAAAATATTAATCCTCAAATACACGCAGGCACCAGACCAGACGCAGAAGTAGACAAAGAAAACAAAAACAAATCGGTTGCTGCAGTCTGCAGGTTGCATGTGTGACTTCCTCTGCCCGTATATGGCGCCTGTCGCGATATCGTGACGCCCCCTCCCACAGTCTGGGAGGCTGTCGTCTGATTGGACGCACCTGGGTCTCTGGGCTCACAGAGCCCGCCCACCTGCTCGCTCGTCCCCATTCGCTCCCTGCAGCTGGTGTCGCACGTCCGAGCTCTGCTTTCTCTGCTCCATTGCTTCATCTCAGGTGTCTCCAGGTTGTTTTTTGTGTTTAACTTGTTTTTTATTCGACGTTTGTTTATGAGAGAAACCTTTTGGTGTGATTGAGGCACTGGAGAAAAAGTAAAAACACTGATAATCCCCCCCTTCCTCGCCCTCAATGAGTGTTGTTTAATTACTTAAACGTTGCTGGCAGGTACAGATGTGTGTGTGTGCGCGTGTGCATGTGTGTGTGTGTGCGTGCGTGTGTGTATGTGTGTGTATTTGTAGACAAACGTGCATTACACAAATGCCCGGCAGTGCCTCTCTCTGATTTTAAATGTCATCTGGCTTTATTGGCATGGTACGCGAGTCCATCTGTGCGGCCAAAGCCTGCAGGGATGTGCGCAGTACAAAAGAGATGATTGCGCCGCAGTTGATGGATGGATTTTCAAAGGACGTGCACGTGTCCTACATGCATTCATCCTTAAATATGCAGAATATATCTGCTGGTTTATATATTAATATTAGCAAAGATTCAAACTAAAATCTGATTTGAGTTCGCTTTCACAGATGCAAAACACTCCAAATATTCTACTGCTCCTTTTGGCTCCCAAGAGTTGCCTCCATGTGTTTGTGCGATTTAGCTTTGTTGTTGTAATTGTGGGAATCGTAATCTCAACCTGCGTTTGACCGATTGTGCAGATCGAATTTCTCCACCTGCCGACGTGAAGCAGGGAATCACATTAGAACCGCCTCGGCCTTGGCACTCGAGCGAGGCGCCTGTACGTCTAACTGGTGCCTTTTGATTTATTCTGGGCGTGTACGCGTCGTGCAGCAGGAAAACGGCGTGTGTGCTCTGTCAACTTCTCCGCGGTGGATTCAGGTTCAAAACATATTTACAGAGAGGGAGTTAAGATGAGTCGGAAGTGAACTATTGTGTGTGTGTTTGGTTTCTCGGCATTCTAATGTCATCTAGTTTAATCAGATTAACACTCCCAGCCAAATCCTGTCAAACGCACAAGCGCACACACACACACATACACACACAGAAACACGCACACACGTGAACTGAAATTCATGTGGAGCAAGAGGAAGTGAGACATCTGCTCAGAAGGAACTGTACACATTAGCCTCTTTCTTTCTTCTCGTGCTTTTCTCTGTAGTCCTTTTTTCCTGCCTTCTGCTTTCTAAACTAAAATGATAATTAACTTTATCGTGCTCATTCATCACATGTGGTGAACACACACACACACACACACACACACACCTTCCATACAGATTTTTCTCTCTCACACCCGCTAAAAGGCAGAAACAGTGTTATAAAACACGGCCGTAATAAAGAGGAAGGGAGTGTTCCTGTCTTTGCTCTGGCGGCGCAGGTAAACAGTGGCTAGTGGGCCGGTGTGTGGGTGTGTTTCTAAAGGTGTGTGTGTGTGTTTGTTTGTTTGTTTCAGCAGTGATCACACTCTGATTGCAGCTTTAACACATTAATAGAGAGAAATACCAACTAACTGACTATTTTAAAGTCAGGTTTTCTTTTCCTGCTGGCAATGTAAAGGTCACCTCACCGCTTAAGGACATTTACCCCCCCCATCCCATCCCCCCAAATACGGTGCGTTAGCCGTGCTGTCAAGTTGCCCCCTGTGGCCAACCACAGTACTGCAGGTCTCAACGTATTTTAGTACTGAAAGGATCTCTATAGCTGAGACTGGGTTAACTTTTCTCAGGAATAGGGGGTTTCTTTTTTTTTTTTACCGGACTCGCTATCTTTGGATCTCAGAGTTGTGGCTGGTGGAAGGTTTTTTGTCTTTCCCTGCGTTGTTATCAGTCAACCAGTCGGCCAAAACAGGCGGTGGATCACGAACAGGTCGCAGGTTACTGCTTTCACTCCGCTTATCCGCGGTGATACCGGCATGACCATTCTGCCACATTCACCCGCTCTCAGTGTTGGCATTAAGAACACACACACACACAGATCAGCGAGTGGACAGCTGGAGGCTGTTAGCTGTAGTTTCACTATTTTAGAGAAACAGAAAAATAACAACAAAAGCTCCCAATGTGATGATGATGATGATGGCGTCTGAATGCATTTTTTGTGTTTATGCGTCCGGGTGCCCTTTTATATCGTGCATCTGTGAAGACCTACTCTCATTTTGTGCATGTGTGTGTGTTTGTGTGAGCACATGATGCACACTGTGTGCTGGACAGTGTGCACATATTTGGCCATGTCGCTGTGTTTCTCGGGTCTCTCGGGCCCTTTCGTTCCAAAAAGTAACATTGTTTTTTTTTTACTCATTCTAGTTTTAAATGTATGTAAAAAAGAACTTGAACTATGTATTTAAACATGTTCGTCATCAATTAAAGGATCCAAAAAGCTTGCTGCCTTTAGTCCAAAACCCAAAATTGGTGTGTGTGTGTGAGTGTGAGAGAGCTCACAGCCCAATCACATGATGCATCACATTGCCCGCTCTGTCTCCATACCCGCTCTCTTTCACTTCCTCTATTCTCCGTGGTGTTTCTCTCTTCCTCCATGACCTCTCTAAATGTGTACATCTCTTGTTTCCCTCTTTCTCGCTCTCTTGTGTAATCTATGATCTTGCCCTCTTTCAACATGTCTGCCCCTTTTTTTTCTCCCTTTGCCATCCCATGCAATTATTCCCCCTTTTCTCACTGTCTCACATCAGATAACCTTCGTCTTTTTCCTGTTCCATCCCTCCCAATTTTTGTTTTAAAAAGTGTGTTTATTTAAACCAGCAGGTCAAATCTGGTTACAGTGCAAAAATAAGTGTGTGCGTGTGTGTGTGCCCTCAAGTCCCTGAAATACGACAAAACTCTCTTTCTTCTCCTGTTCCGTCTCTTCCACCAAAGACAATTTTATCAACAAAACACATTTCCAATGCAAAAATTCTGGTTTATTTTGTTATTTGACTGTAGATTCCCTGTGAACACCAAAATCTTCATCATCATCATCCCTAAAGGCAAACCTGCTATGTGTAGTATTTAAAAACAATGAGCTCAAACGTCTTTGGTGTGATCACTGTAAACAAAGATAATCATTTTTTGCTTCTGTCCAACACGAGCGGCGTCACCAGAGACGTGTTCGAGGATATTTCCTTCTTTTTATATGCTTTTTAGCAGTAGTTGCTACGTCACGTCCTACTGTCTATGTAGTATGTGTGTAACACACGCCGTATTCTTTACGCCTCGATGTTTCCTTGAATCAACTTTTCATCTGAAATGAAAATTACTTTTACCGTTTGATACCTCGAAATAGCATTTTGTTGGTAATATTTTTGGTGCTTTTACTTCCATAAATGGGATTTGGAATTTGGAGTATTTTTAAGATTTTGATACTGGTGCTTTTCTTTCCAGTAATTAAAGGACAGCACTTCTTCCATCGCTATAAATACCAGTAGCAATGAGAACATGTCTCTCCCTGCCTGTGTCCTTGCAGTACACGGGTCCAATCCCGGCCGAGCGAGGCGGCGAGCTGGCCATGGGAGGAGGTCGCAGTGAGACCTCGGCGCTGAGCGAGACCGCGGGGGGGCGGGGCATGACCACTACGCAGAACTCCCAACGGCCCAATGCCTGCTGCTTCTGCTGGTGCTGCTGTTGCAGCTGCTCGTGGTAGGAGACAAGAACAAGAACACACACACGCGCACGCACACACACGCTGCATTTATACAGACAAATACACACACACACACACAAACCTGGCACACATGTGAAACCTCTTATGTAAGCAAGTACACACTGGGGCAAGTACCCTGGTCCTGCCGGGCTGAATGTCATCTTTTACTTTGCTGTATTGAGGCTTTTGAATGAAGCTTGAAATGTTTGCCCTTACATTGTATCACAGCATCACCTTCAAAACATCTCCAAACTTTACCCTCAAGTTAAATTAGGAAAGTCTACAGATGAAATGAGGCACATATTTCTAGCAGCGCCTAATTCCCTATCTGATGCGTATCCATGATTGGGGGATTACCGCCAGAGCTAAAATAAGCCCCGTGCGGTTTTGAGGGCGGATTGGAGGGTGACTGCTGCCCTGGACCAAACTGGATTATATCCAGAAGAGCAAACCTCATGCTGGTATAATAAGATTGAAAAAACAAAAAATCAAAAGCAAATTGTGAGCATTTTTAAAAGGTTGTGGACTATTATGCAGAATAAAGTACAAGGTGTTGAACAGGAAGTAGCATCGATCGTTACGGGTGAAGGGATTTCTGAATTTAGCAATATGTGTTTTATTCTTCAGGTCCTTAAGCTTTATTGTCTATAATACTGTATCAAAAATATATTGTAATAGTATTATATTCCACCTGTAACGAACCAAATTCAATGCTTACACATATGTGGAATTTGTATATATTGTTGTTGTATCACGCTTCAGCAGTATTCCAATCGGTCTGCTTATTGTTTGTGGCTGACACCCGTTTTGTATTTTTATTCATTAAGTAACAACAATGAAGTCAGGACCCGATAATATCGAGTTACAAAATGACCAATTAAGCATCAGCAACTACTTGGATTCCATTAGGAGGTGCAGGTGAGCTCTGCAGAGAGAGGACATTCCCCTTCTGGTAAACCTTCTGACACAAACCCGCGTCGTAGCGAGGCAGTAGATGTTGGGCGATTAGGTCTCTGTCGTTCCCACAGGAGACCTCGTGGTTTATGGCTCTCTTCTGAAGGCGTTGACACCTGCAGCCGCTGCTCCGCCCTGCTGTTCACATAACTCTGCTCAGCGGTGTCATTAAACGGGGGGCCGTGACATCGTCGTAGGTGACTGTTCACGCGTTTATAGTTCTACAGCTCTTCTGTCAGCTGTGGTTTAGTGTGTGTGTGTGTGAGAGAGAGAGAGAGCTTCCATCCTGTTGTTCTCCCCGTCAGGAATGAAGAGGAGAGGCGGAGGCGGAGGAAGAGAATATCGCAGGACACCAAGATGGAAACCAGACAGAACTGTGAATCTTGGTGAGTCCGAGGCAGAAACGCACAACCATTCTGTCTGGCTTAAAGTTTATTAATAACATTTCGTAGCTTAGGTCACGGCACCAACAAAACAATGATTATTTTATATTTATATATTAGGCATTTGTTGTTGGGATTTCGCTCTATTGAGTTATTTGTTATAATGTGAGCTCAGATATTTCCCATTCATAAACCATACAGACACACGGAACGATTGGGAGACAAAATAGCAACTACTAGAAAAACAGAATAGGAAACGTCTACATGAAATCCTGTAACGTGTCAAACTGGATGAACGAAGAAGAAATGAATCCTCCTTTCCTCAGCCCCAGACCGTCTGCGGAAGAGATCCGCCTGTGGTCTCAGTCTTTCGACAAGCTGATGAGGAACCCCGCGGGTCGGAATGTTTTCCGAGAGTTCCTGCGGACGGAGTACAGCGAGGAGAACATGCTGTTCTGGCTGGCCTGCGAAGACCTCAAACAAGAAATCAACAAGAGCGCCATTGAGGAGAAAGCGCTCTCCATCTACGAGGACTACATCTCCATACTGTCGCCCAAAGAGGTGGGGGGGGACTGTGGGGAAACGCCTATTTGCAACAAAGAGGTTATGAAGTGATGGTTTTGGGGAGTTTTAGCAGCTTTCACATTAATAAAAAAAAATGTTTCTCTTTTTCTAAACCTTACACATTTAAATGTAGCATGACCCTTACATCTCTGGATCAAGGGAAAGAAAAGTATTTATATATCATAGCTGAAATTCCAAGAGATGATGAGTTAATCCCTTTTTAAAACGTAAAAAGTGTTGCTTGAGGTCAGCTCTTTTATTTCTGGAACAACGATATTTGGAAATTTATTTGGATAAATAATTGACGCGGCGACACGTTACACACTTCAGTGTGATTGGTGCAGACAAACATGCAGCAAGTACAAACGCACACAACCAACGTGCTCAAGTTGCTCCGCTGCTGAGAAACGAGGGAAGCAACGTCGGCTTTGCTGCTATTTTTAACCGACTCACTGCGTGTGTGTGCATGCGTGCGTGTGGCCGCTTCATTTAGTCAAAGTGCTGGAGGCATTGCTCGTCAGGCGCCATCGCAAGTGTACACAAGTGTGTTTGGATGTATGTATGTACAGTTTTTCCTGCATATGTGTTCGTATGGGTGTGCAGAGTGTTTATAGGAAACTATGAGTTGCTGCTCGCGTCTACTTCTGGCAACAGAGGCTTTTTATAGACCCGGGAACACCAGAGATATCCAGACGTGTTGAGTCTGGCGGAGAAGATGCGTGCCTGGCCGTCCGTCTGCGTGTGTGACCTCGGTAGGGCGCCTATCTCTCTTTGTGTGAACGCGAGAGGAATCATTGGAGACCGCTTTGTCGTGCTATAAATATCTGCTGCTGCTTTTTCTGTGGGGCCCTGAGTGTGTGAGTGAGTGTGTGTGAGTGAGTGTGTGTGTGTTTGGGTGTTCCCGCGCTGATAACCGTATGTGCTCCGGCATCTATGGAAGATAATAAACTAAACCACAGAGCGAGTCCACATCCAAACTGTTCCAACGCTCGACAAACATTTGACCCAAAACAATGTGGAACAATGAGGCACGTCCTCCCATGTGCCGTCGCGCTCCTCGTTAAAAGTGTATCGAATGTCTCCCCCCCCCCCCTCAGGTGAGTCTGGACGCCCGGGTCCGAGAGGTGATCAACAAGAAGATGCAGAACCCGACAACTCAGTCGTTTGAAGACGCCCAGCTACAGATCTACACGTTGATGCACAGGGACTCCTACCCTCGATTCCTCTCCTCCAGCATCTACAGGTCGCTCCTTCACGGCGGCTCGCGCACCTCCTCCGAATCCTAGTCGCGCACACTGCCGACCGCCCGGTCCGGCCTCTTCTGACACTGCAGTTACAGGACTGACGCCACGACCATTTCATTGCACAGAGCTTTCCAAGGAAGACCAGGCAACCGCTCGCCTTGTCGGTTTGCTTCTGAGAGCCTCCAGATTTACTGCCGAGAAAGCCTCAACTTTTAGTATCGTTTCCAAGACTCTTAAGGTTTGTCTCCAGTTGACTCCTCTCTAGTTTCTTCCATTCTTTTCCCCTAGTAAACCGTAATATAAATATAGGTGGCAGGTAATAGGTAAGCTGCCAGCATACATTGGATGGATGGATTTGTACTTATTTGCCCCTCAGTTGGCGGATTAAGAGGCGGCCGTCGCTGAAATCCGCTCGCGTTTCTTTTTGAATCCTACAGGTCAAGTCTCTCAAGTCAAAAGGAAAAAGATTGATGCCCTCACATATTCCTTTTATCCCTTTTTTAAATTGTTCTCCCTTTCAACTGGAAAACACCAGTCGCTCCCTCCATCCCCTGCTACAAACCACGAACGAAGGATTTATTTTCTTTTATTAGTCGACTCATTTCCGTCAGTCACCAGTCATTTCACCCCTGTGATAAACGGATGGATGTCACTTCCTTCCGACTACTGATTTACAAACAGACAAGACGTCTATTTTTTAAGAGAAAACTATATGGAACATTTTAGCTGTGATGATTATTGTTGGTTTTTGTTCATTTGGTTTATTCCAGCCCCTTCCTGCAAGAGACCGTACCGACGCGACACCAAGGACACCACAGACCACTGGGGCAATAAACACTGGAAAACATTCACTTGCACACACCCACACAATTTGTGTTACTATACGATTGGTTAAATGGTTAAAAATATGAGAAAAAAAAGTTGTGAGAGTCCAGGAGATCCCAAAGGGATTCGCAGGGAAGAGGTTGGGACGGGGGCGAGGGGTCGCCAAAGGTCAGGAGGGACCACAGAAGATGAAATGGTCTCTCTGCAACAAAGATCAAGCTTTAAAAGTAATAGTTGTCCTAGTAAGTATAGTAATACAAATCTACACTCACACTCACCGGGGTGGCCTACCTGGGCACTGCTGCTGACCTCTGCCTCTGTGACCTCTCACCTTTGACCTCACCACTGTCTGTCACCCACTCAGAAGCCTGCTCCTGATTGGCTCCAGGAGGTTGTTAACTGTGATCGTTCAATTCAGGAAGGGGGGGGTTGGGAAGAAATCCCGGGTTCAAAAATATATAAATATATCCATGAAAAACAATTTATAATTATATGTAAAAAATATGTTATGTGACGCTTACACCCAGTGCTTTGTTGGAAATGTAGTTTGAAGAAAACACAAGGTTGTAGTTGTCTGCGGAACAACTGATTTCAAGAAGAGGTCCTCAGAATGCATTCATCTTAGTATCGTTATGTTATTTATTTTATATTTTGTTAAAACTGTGATTTTAATTGTGTAGATCTACAGAAAGTCTTGAACATCCGATGAGAAGCAGCGTTGTTTGCTCAGTGTTTGTGAATCGGTGTATTTATTTCAGTAACAGTATGAGTTGTCATGCTGAAGTCTCTTTGCCACCCTCTTCTTTCATATGATAAATGAGTTATAAAATATTTTAGACTAATAATGTTGTCTGACTACTCCGGTCTGGTTTTTACAGCCCAATTGCAATTGTGTTTTTGAGTAAGATCGGTAAAAGATCGGATAAAGATATATTCAGCAAATAGGTTTTATTTGTCTGTTTGTTTTTAAAATGCAGTAAATGTGCAACATCTTAACTTGCATCCTTTTTAAATAGACGAGGGTTCTAAACAACCGTTCGTCGTCCGAAGTGAAGCTGCAGTTTGACTCGGTGTGACCTGAAAGTGAACATGAACTGAGCAGAAACAGTTCTAGCTGTTCACTCTGTGTGTTGACCCTCAGTTCCTAAAGGAAACCCACACACACACACATACACCCACACCCAACCTTTGAAACAGTCCATTTGTAGTGTGTGTGTGTGTGTGGCCGTCTGGTCTTTTTCCACAGTTCACTGTAACTTGATATGTTTTTGTTTGGGAGTAATTCTCTATGACTGACACACACATGCACGCACGGTTTCATGCCTCCATATTCACTCAAAGGAAATTCTTTATCTGTCCATCAATTCCCACCTTTCTAGTGTAGTTTCTTTATGATGAACGCTGGTAATCTTTACTTCTCCTGCTTAAAGACTTGTGTTCAAGTCAATGTGCCAATGGCTCTTTTTATTTTCTTTATTTTCTACTTCAAAGACACAAAGGTTCATAATGTTATGCTCTAATATGGAACCAGCAGAGCTGTGTATTGGCAAGAAACTGGTGGTCACGTTACGTTTCAACTTGCAATGAGTCAATATGTTTTTACTTTTTCTTTATGCACGGCAGCATGGGGCACTCATTCACACCACTGCTTTTGGTGCAATGTTTCTGGCCTGTGACCAAGCGAACTGTGACCAAGCGAACCTGCAAGTGAAACAGAAGCTGTGTCTGTTTTTTTGTTTAGGTTCAATTTAACTGCTCGATGAACCTGAAGGACGGATGCACAGGCGTGCACAGCACGGCAGCTGAACAAGCCACAAGGCAAAGGCACACTTGACTTAATGTACAGTTAATGATAAAAGAATGTAGTACTTAAAACCCCCAAAAGTCCATCATGTACTAATATATGGTCAATGTCCTGGCAGAATATTTAAATTGATTTAGAAAATGTGGATGCAACACAACTTCTCAGAGTGCGACGCACAATAAGAAGACCTGATAATGCAAAGTATTTAAAGTCTTGTCGTTGCATTGAAGATGAGGACTGCACCCTTCCTCCAAAACGTGTTTCCCCATCACTCACACCGGTTGAACTGTACCCTTTTTATATATATTGAACCACAATCTTTATATTTCTTAGTCAAAATGACTGACTATCTTTTAGATTATTCCTCATCTCACCCGTAAACCAAAACACGTTTTAAAACAAAAAGTGAGACGTGGGCAGCGGGCAAGTTTGCTGGTTGGCCGAGTGACGACGTCTCCGTGCCGCGTTCCCCCTCTGAGGCACATGACGTCAGTCAGGAGAGAGACGCCGAACAGGACCCGTCCACCTCGTCCATCCCTCTCGCTCCCATGCTCATGTATGGAAAGACTTCAGCTGTGTTTCCACAACAAACAGGAGCTTTCTGTGCTGCGTTTTCTCACCACTTCCTCCCCTCGGACGACGTGATCCCTCCTCTAGCCCCCGTACGCTTTGGTCGATTGTGATTTATTCTTTTTTTCCCCACGCGGGGGCCAAATGAAAGTGAAACAGGGCTGGCTGTTGCCAAGATGAAATTATGTCAACAGGGATGATATCACTTTTTTTTTCCTGTAACTGTCGGTATCTTTAGTGAAGCAGCTTGACGGCGACTGCCTCGTTTGCTCATATCGGGCCGTCAGTATTACATTAAAAATAAATCCTAACCGGTTAAAAGTTCTTAATGGTAACTAATGTGTGTTCGTCCTGCTGAAGTGTACTGCGGGGGGGTCAGTTACGTCGCTGGAAGGTTTGGTTACAGGTGCAACAGAACAAGCCTGCAGTGATGCTGGTTGTTGCGTTGTTATCAGTCAGTGGGTGTGAAGTCCACCAGACAAAGTATAAAGAGTAGAGGATTCGTTCTGTTCATATAGTTCTGTTAAAAAAACAAAAAAAAAAACAGTTGAAATATTGTGATGACTTCAAAATCCCAAACAAGCTGGACTGAAGAGAAGAAAGTGCAGTAGAGGGATTGTAATCCAAGAGCCACTTTATTAGAAATGTTAAGGGAAAATATTGTGGCAGCACAACATGGCAAAGAAAGGCACATCCGCTATTTTATTAAGCCTAAATGTTATTGTAACATTGCTTAAAGCTTCTGCTAGCTCAAGAAATTCTTTCTTCTAAGTGCGCAAAAACAAAACATGAGCTAGCATATTCTTCTCTAAATATACACCAGCTTTCACTTTTATATACATAAAAGAAAAACTAAATTTTTGTTTTAATTATCATTATTTTTACAATCAATTCACTAGTCAGTTTGCTTCATGATGGAGTAATACTCACACACAAACACGCACACACACTCTTCAACAGAACTGTAAGAAAGACAAAAAAATATATTATTAGTATTAAAGTTTACTTTGCAGTGAATTACAATTCTAAAAAAAAATCTAAAATGTTAACGTTTTGTTTACCTTGCCTTGAAAGTTTGCATGGCTGCATATTGTACCAGTGGCATCAGGTACTCGTCATAGACATTTGTAGCTCATAATTACAGAGACGAATCAGCTAACGCTTCACTTCTGAGGAGCTCTTTAGGTTCTTATAGCACCACTTTGATTTTACAGAACACGTTTTGTTCAAGATTTTGACCACTGAACTGTATTACAATGAAAAGAGATTTCATTGTTATATACCACAAAAACAACTTTTGAATGCTTATTTGGAAACATTCCTGAGTTCAGGGAGGATATGAAACTAAACGTGGTTTAAAAATATCAGATTAAATATCTGTTTGATAAACATTAAAGCCTCATGCCATGTTTCAGATGGAGGACGTGCTGGGACACTTCCCACGAGCCTTCAGTGTCTCCAATTAGTGGAGAGCCAGGAGTTCGGTTAGGGGGGAGGAAGAGGAGGAGCAGTTAGAGCCTGGTCTCTGCCGCCATCTTGTGGCGAGTGTCCCTCACACGTCCACCCGCCAACCTTTATCATTTAGTTATTTAGTGAAGCTTCTCGCCCTACTTACTTCAGTTATTCATCTCCCACACAAAAACAAAATGCCTTTCATTATCAGTGACAATAGTGAAAAATGCTTGTATTTTCATGTGCAGAAATACTAACATGCAAACTGCGGATATCATTACTTGATCATTGCAGGTTTAACCTTAAAAGGTGGAAACCTCCAATTCAGAGACTTTATATAAAGCGTATATGTCCAACTGCGCAAAGCATATAGTCACTCTCTCTGCGCGTGTCTAAGCTTCGCTCGGTCTGTGCTTTGTAAACATGGCAGGCTCACTCTGCACGGAGCTCACGTGGTGCTCACACCTGGGTGTAGACGGGTGTAGGTGGCGTTGTGGAGGAAGTGTAGCTGCTACCATCCGGTTCCCCTACAAGTTAACACCGTCAGCACTGTTGCCGTTGTTTGAGCGGTCGCCACGTTAGAAGCCATGTGGGCCGATCCCTTGATCGTACATATGGTCTGAATTTGGAATTTAGCACCTTTTAAACGTCTGTTGATACTATTTAATACTTTTTTTTTTTTTATTGTCATTTACCTTCCATCTGTTGCCACAGTTGTTACACAGCACAAAGGTGGTCATGGGCTCGTCAGCACTGCGGATCTGCACCTTTAAAAAACACACAATACATCATAACTGAATATTGTCATTTAAACTGTCCAATTATCGTTGTGTGTATGTGTGTGTGTGTGTGTGTGTGCAGCATACCTGCGTGTAAGAGCAGTTCTTTCCGTGACACTTGCTGCAGATGAACATGTCCGTCTCAGTTCCACCGACCTTTGACAGCTGATGCTCTCTGATGGACTCTTTTGTCAGATCCTGTCGCTTTTGCTTCAGCTCTGCACTTGCCATCTCCTGCACACACGCACACGCACACGCTTGTTCTGTGCTCGCCCTCATCGAGGCGATAGCTTCCCTCACCCCGGATCAACTCTGGGATGAAACACAGCGTCTGCATGTCTGACCTCAGCCGTCATGGAGGCGATGCGTTGAGCAGAGATGTTTCCACACAGTACGTTGCGCCGCAGGTCGGGATTCTTCTGGTCCTTGAGGTTGGATATGCGGCTTCGCAGACGGGTTTTGTATTTGATATCCGTCGTCTTAAACTCCTGGAAGATCTGTGGGCTCGAGGAGCAGTCAAGGACCAAAACGCGACCGTGACAGCGGCCAGAGGAGCGACTCTGAATGTTAAATAAAGACTATTTAGCCAGCTCTCCTTGATCTAAATCTAAATGGCGTTGGCGGAGCGGACAGTCACGCTGTTGGATAAACACTGTGGCGGCGTTATGGTCACTCAGCAATCCCAGATTAAAATCAGTCATTCCGGTCTGGGATCATTTTCTGTAACTGCATGTGGATTACTCAAAAGGATATCCTCTTCAATTTGTGCTGCAAGATTTTCACAGTGGACACCGATGGTCTTGTGGTCATCTGGAACACACACAGACTCTTTAACTTCAAAGAGGACAAATAAGAAAATGCAGAATTTGCTTGACTAATTAATAAGATTATTTCCAGACATTCCCTTACTCTCATCTTCCCACAGCTTTTAACTTCATTTCACGGCATTCTTCCATAATTGGTTTTTGATCATATCACATGATCTTGCCCTTTCCATGATTCACAGAAATGTCGATATCGTCCATTTATTGAGCATGATAAATTAAAAAAAGATATGATCTTAAAAATCCTGGTATATGATTTAAAGCCCCAGAACAGTTAATAAATGGATTGAAATTAAAATCTTTAATATATATATTTATTTCAACCTGAACTTCAATTATCACCCAAAGCCAACGGTTGTAGAAATGTGAACTTTCAATATATTATGGCATGCGCTTGAAAAGAAATGATCGTCTTCTCACCATCAGTCTGCAGCGCCGCCACCAGCAGCTCTCGACACTTGTTGCGCACGCCGTGGGTGGTGACGGGGGCCGGGGGGAACGAGGCCATCGGAGGGGGAGGCGTTGAGGTAGTGGGGGAGGGAGGTGCGGTGGGCGCGGTGGGCGCACAGGGTGAGGTGGGTGTGCTGAGGGACTCCCCTGACTTCATACTGCTGATTAAAAAGAGGAGGAAAAAAAAGGGAAGCAGGGTTTGGATTGAGACAGTATGATAAAAATGTAGTGGTGACATCATCATCATCATCATCATCCAACCGTAGGTGTAACCAAACACAACGCCATCACCAACCTTTTCTCGCTGTTGCCGGAGTCCTTGGAGGCGGACGACGACCTCACAGGGGAGCCTTCTCTCTTTTTCTCCTTCTCGTCCGGCTTCTCCACTGAACCGTCTGCAGGGCGGGAAACAAACCACGTCGACGAGGAGAAGCGGTTGGGACGCAGCTGCAGCATTTGGACTGATGCCAAAACACCTGCAACCGCGGCTCTCCGTCTAAGCCCACACAGCATCGATGCAACGCTCTTCTCCACTCATATGCTGTGAGCACAAGAATGGCTGGCGGCTGGTTCACATGAGCCACCACAGTATCTTCATTGTACTTAGCAAGCAGGCAACTGCGTTTCTTTAAAAAAATAAATAAAGGAAGGCAACATAAGTGCTTTAAGGGTGAATTATTGTGGCAAACAAGGAGAGACCCAGCTGGCTGCTATGATACGACTGTTCATATAGAAGAGCCTACTTCTCAATCAACCTTCTGCTTGGCAGGTTGCAACCACATCAGTGAACTTTAACCCCTTCAGTCGGTTTTCACTTCATTAAGGTCAATTTTGGTCAGATCCAAAAGATGTCGATGATGTCGTCATGGTGGACTCTGGGAACATACGGTCTTAACATAATAACCATCAGAACCTTAAGTCCTGTTCAATGGGAAGAACAATAACACCACTTTTGCTTACCCAGCAGTTTCTTCCAGGACTTGATGAGCGCTTTGGCCAAAGTCTGAACTTCTTCATCGGAGCTGTGTTTCCTCACCGCGTTCACCGACATCCCAACTCTGGTGGACTACAGAAAGAGAAGAGACAAGTTCATTTTCTCATTTGAACTGATAATTACGCTTTTATTTTTTTGTCAGTGGGACACATTTTTAAATGGCATCACATTAGTTAATTACCTGCAGGGTCTCCAGAGATATCTTCATGTCCTTTAGTTCCCTCAGCAGGTCGAGAGCTCCGTCCTGTCGCCGAAACAAGCAAGCGGACATTAGCGTCTCAGCAGGAGTCCGTGTGCCCACAGAAAGGTGCAGTTTCATCTCAGTGGACCATCCAACAAATCGAGTCAAGGTGGTCTTTAGTATTACATTTGAAGAAGCTGAAAAGCTTTCAACTATCACTCACCCACTCTGGAAATTAAAACACCGGGACCCTTAAAATGATACAGATATAGTTATATAGCAATTTACTCTATAGCATTTGTTATATTTAAATTGATGGCATGGTGGAAGGCCGGGGTGAATGCCAGCCGTAAAAAGGTATTTAGTACCATGAGTACCAACATCCAGCATCACAAATCTATTTAAGCAGCTAGTTTGTAGCGTTGGAATGTTTAGCAACAGTAATTGCAGCAGATGGAGCAAGATATGACCCTCAGGACTCATTCGGAAAGATGTTAAACTACAGGGCTGAAGGTGAAAGAGGACGCCGATGGGGAAACTGGTGCACTTTGAACTGCAGCTGAAAATCATTTATAAAGTCATAAAAATAAAATAAAAAATAATCATGTTCATTAAATATGTTGATTTTAATGAAGTAGTATTTAACAGAATGACCCTTTTCATTCTGAATTCCACAGTACGAACACCTTGACCAAATGTGGTAATCGCGAAGATACAATTCAGCTGCACGTGGGAGTGCAAAGGAGCATATATATATATATAAAAAGTACAACCCCAGTTGGATTGAGTTTTATACTCTCAATTATTTTGTACTCGAGAGAAATGACAAGAAATAAGAAATAAAAGTGAATAATAAAAAAGGTTGCACGCACAGAAAACTACTTACCAGGAAAGTAAAATACATGTTGTACCCACTGGAAAACCTTTGCAGACTTAGTTAAATATCACATGGTTATGATTAAATATGAATGAGACATTTTTCCACAAAATTTCCCTCGGCTTCCTAGTTTCATAAGATACATTTTGGAGATGTTATTTTTGCATTTTCTTTTTACATCGTTTTCCAGTATTGCAGTTAATCCACCATACAACCTAAGCAGCCACTTGTTGAGTAAATAATCTCTGCTTTGACAGGATAATTGCATCAAGGTGCGGCTGATGTAATTAGCAGCTCTTTGACCAATAGCTGCGGTGATTTATTGCCAAATATTTCCCCCAAAATCATGAAAAACAGAAGCAGCACTCGTTAGAAGTAGATTTACGAGCAGCCATCCAGCAGCGAGGTTTCCAGAAGCTTCTCGCAGCAGTTAATGGAGGTAGAACGCATCACCTGCTCGCGTGCCTTTTGCTTTCTTTTTTTCTGCGGATGCTGCAACAGTTTTTTTTGCGCTCACCGTGTCCTTCACGTGCACCATTTTATCCAGCTTTTTGGCGATGCGCTCCACCTCCTGCGGTTTGGCCATTTGGAGCCGATTTTCTCTCCGTCAGTTGTCCTTCTCTGCGGTGAAGAAACCCCCCGTTTATGTAAGAAAAGCTCCCCCCCAAATCTCTCTCTCTCTCTCCCCCGTTATTTCCTCCACTTTACGCAGTCTGTCTCCGGCTGCTGCTGCTGCCTCCCTCTCGTTTGTTGTTGTGTGTCGCTGGGGGACGATGGGAATTGTAGTTTTATTTTTTTACAAATACGGACTTGGGTAGAAATAAAACTTTATGTCATTTTTTTTAGTTCGTGTGATTTGGGGATATTTGTTGGACAGAATTGGACATCATGATTCATATATAACTGCGAATATTCACTTTGCCCACGTGAGTCACTCTTTTTACACACTGCACGTGTAGTGATTGTTAATCAGTCCAAACTTTTTCTTTTGGGAATGAATTTAAGGAGATGTAAGGGTATATTTGAACATGTGTGGAGAATGAGAGCATGTTCAAAATATTCCTGATACTACAAATAATAAAGCAGAGAAATGGACCAGACTTAATCCACCTCAACAAACAAAAGTATGGTCAATCAGTAGTACGGTAGTTTATGGTGAACATTTATTTTATTTTTGCCTTTTAGACTTGAACTTTGGTGTATTTCATTATTGACAAACCCTTTTTCTTTTTTTTATTGTTGGGAAAAAGTTGTAGGCCTTTTTTTTTCTCATTGATAGTTTGCCTGTGTAATGTTGTTGTTTCTGCTGATTGAAAATGCACCTTGTTTGATTGAAATTGTGTTTTAATGTATATGTATGTCCAATAGGACACAAATGAAAAGCCTAAATGCACCTACTGTGTTCTTCCTCTAGATGACAGTGTTGGTAAGTTACTCTTTGCTTGGTGTACAGTGTAGAGACGTTAATGTGACGCGTGTGATTCTCCGGCAGACCAATTTCCTTCAACTCAACATCATTTTGAGGTTATTTGAACGTCGCTTTAACAGTCCGTTAACGAAGAGGCTCGCGTGTCCTGTGAAACTGTAAAGAATAATCCCTCATTGGCCTTCCTATAAGTCTACGTCTAGTGACTTGGACTTCTATCAATGAATAAGTTTAATGAACTAGTGCAAAAAAGGGACTTTTGTTGTCTATTTTCATAGAGCAAGTATCTTTGTTTACTGAGCGTTTTTCCAACTCAAGTTTATAAAGGGATTCAAACAAGAAAGCAACTTTAGTCAATAAATCTAATGTTGTCACATCAAAGTGATTTCTTTCTTTTTTTTTTAAATAACTTATAGACTATCAATGTAGTTGACATTAAGCAAATCAAGCAACGGTTCAAGTGTAAATTCCAAATGTGTGACCACCAGGTCCCTGTTCCCCGTTAGGAGGGTGGGCGCGATCCTCCTGGGAGCGCCGTCATTGGCTATGACAGCTGAATGAGCGTGGGGCCGAGCGGGGGGTCGTGACCTGTCCAGTGGGGCGTACTCTCATGCATTAACGCGCACTGAAAGGTATGCACAGCCAGCCCGGCTTTTCTTTTTTTTTTTTTTCTTTTTTTTTTAACAAAGTACAGAGAAAGCTGGATAACGACACCCGAGGGGAGAGAAAGACAAACTTCACACAACATGAGCGAAACGAAGATGGCCTCTTTGACATTAACCTAAACAGAGAATCAAGGTACACAACGGGTTTTATTGTAAAGTAATAAATAAAATGTCTCCCACTTGTCATGTGATTTAGATTCTAGATGTCCGAACAAATCACACTCTTAACAAACTTTCCCAACCGTGTCTGCCGGCCAGAACTCAGAGACAGACATGCGGTCCTGTCTCGCTCTCTCTTCTTTAAACCACAACAGGCTCTCTGCTCTGCATTCCAGACGAGTAAATAACTCTCAGAGAAACATTTATTTCATTTGTTTCTTTACATTAATTCCTTCTGCTTGATGTATACAGCCAAGAAGCTCCTCCAGCTGGTGTGTGTGTGTGTGTGTGTTACAGAGGACCTGATAGCTTGGGGGTCTACAGCGAGGCAGAGGAGTGAAGCTCCCTTTTCTTTCCCCGCATCTTCTTTCTTTCATCCCATCTCCTTACATTGGTATTTTCCAGCTCCTTCCTCTTGTCCCCACTTCTTGGTTGTTGTTATAATAACATTAAGTATTGTCACCGACCTCTTAAGGTGGCCGCGTTATGACGGGGCCCTCTCACCTTGTTCTGTGGATTCTATTGGATGACCTTTCTACGTGGAGGATATCGATGTCCGGAAAGCACTTGCTCTGTGTGTATTAGATCAATGAAACCTGCTTTCGGCGACTGAATTCAGGAAGTGGCTTCTTCCAGTGAGCTATGGGCTCATTCGAAGTCACCTCTGACGCCAGGAAGTGTGGTAACTTTGGAGTCTCGATTATTGACCATTCGAAGCAGGAAGTTCCCACTCGCCTTGATCTGAAGCTGTTCATTTTGACCCTGGGCACCAGGAAGTGTCCTTTCTACTTCCACTGGATCTATGGAGTCGCTGCTCGTTATGACCTCGGGCAGGAAGTGTCCTCTCGGTTGGATGGATGGAGCTATTCTTATTTCCTTCAGAGACCAGGCCAAGCATTGTGTGGAGTTGGCTCCTTCTTCTCCTCTGATGGTAAATGAGTCTGCTTGATACTCGCTAGAACCGAGGCTGTTGTCGTAATTTTAGATGTGAGTAACATGAATAATCAGATTTGGTAATTGTAGATATGACGAGGCTTGACTGGAAATCTAAAGTACAATATCCGTTTAAAAAAACAAAGCTTCCATTGGGAAGAACCGGATCAGCATTAGATAGGTGTTACAGTAATTGCTGATGATAAACTGTAATAGTCTGACATGTTGATTCTTCTCTGCTGATGGGGGGAGATATAAGAACAATGTGACGGCCGATAGTTGTGAATCTGTATCTGAAATGATATTGTGAACATCAATTGATCTGATGTGACTTTACACTTTTTAACAGTTGCCGGAGGGTTAAACTGACGTACGTCTGCCAAATCAACTACTTGGTCAGTGGTTGTAATCTTATTTTTTTTCTTGTGAAAGTAATAAATATTATGTTTAAAAACACCTTGCTGCGTTAATAATCCGAAGAAAAACACCCCTAAAATTTCCGTTATCTTTCAAATTGCAATTTCTCAATTTGTTCATGCGGCCGTTTTACTGGATCATCTGAGGAGGACGAGGATATTGTTGTATTGCGGAATTTCACGCTGTAATACACTAATATTGTTTGAACCTCAAAGGAACGGGGAGATGAAACACCGACTGGACCAATCAATGAGCAGCAGGAAAGACCGTCTGACACCTGACAAGAACCGTATGAGCTTACAGCGCCAATAAAATATTGACTTCATTTTTTAATTAACTTCAATGCGGTCTGTTTTTTTTACTGACACTCACAGCAGCGGCACCACAATTTGGGTTGGTTCCTTATATAAAAATCTGCCAATAAAGGGTTCACAGTGAAATGATTAGGTATTCCCTCTTTCAGTCTTAATCCTGTGTTCATTTTCTGCAATAAATGCATTAAGTCATTAAGCAGGGGGTCAAACATTTTTGTGTGTGTGTGTGTGTTTTATTTGCTTCCCGGCCAGCTGCCAACATTCCAGCCAGGCGTCCACACTAGGAGACAGGAAGCCAGGAACAAGGTGATGAAGTCACCGTCCCAGGATGGAGAATTAGGCCGTTGGTCCTGTGTGGCAAACGTTGGGCACACGTCCAGTCATTCTCCGCCCTGCGAAGGGCGCAGACTTGTGGCGAGCCGGGGGACAAGAATCGGCTTGAAACGAGGTGAAGAATGAGCGAGCGATAGATCATCAGTCTTCCAATTTCATAATAAATGTACATCCACCTTTCTTTCAAATATTTAAACGTGCACTTTCATTGTGTTACTTGTTTCCAGGGGTAGAAGACATTTTCAGATCGTTTGGCTAAACAAAAGTACCAATACTAAAATGTAAACATACTCCAGTTAAAGTCTGACATTACAAATCATGCTGAAAGAAGCATAGTCAGCAAAAAGTGCTTCATGGCCAAACTTGGCAAAAGCATCAACGGTTGTGCAGATCGGGATGAGTTGCTTTATTTTCATGAATAATAAAACAACGTGGAGACTCCATAGCTCGCACCTAGAAGGCAAACTTTATTATTCCTTTGAACTTTGACACCACAACCACTCCTCCAGTTTTGGGACGATAAATTCCTAACTAAACTAACTAAATATTTTCTGGAAAATAATGTGCTTTTACCGCGTTGTTTACGTGTCACCACCCGGCGTGAAAAGACTTTTACAATCCATATGTTGTCAGATCAAAATGTTTTCCTGAATATATTAATTATCAAGCTCCTTCTCTGGTGCTGTTTCCAATTTCCTTTTATTGTGATATGATTTGTCCTGATGAATGAAGACAGAGCTTTGTACAGTGTTTGCGTGAGTGCGAGTGATTTCCTCTTGGCCAGGTCACAGCAGGACTGAAGTCCGCTGGTCTGCTGCTGGGCTGTGGGTGTGTATGTTTTATGAGTGTTTTATGATGTGTGTGTGTGTGTGTGTGTGTGGGAAGGCATTGGCAGCCCCACTCCCACACACTTCCCTCTCATACCCCTCATGTATGTAGTGCACTCTCACACACACACACACACACACACACCGCTCATTAAAACATGCTGCATGCAGATGCGTTTTTTTGGGGGGCATTTAATTGACTTTGAGTGTTTCAGCATGCATATAATATAAATAGAAGACTATATGATCATGAAAATAACGTATTTAGCCAATATATCCAATATATATACTTCTTTAATTCTAAGGAGACTAGAATATTAGCAGGATGGATTCCGGGTATCTGCATTGTTCTTCCTAAAAGTGAAGCCAATAATGTAAACGGTATTCAAAGTAAATTTAAATAAAATTCTATAATCAGTAAAAATATAGAAGAGGAAGAACCTTTGTTTTATCACAAAATATGAAGAAAATTCTGCATAGAAAAGGAGTTTAACTTTTGTTGGTAAAATATCCAAAGATATATTCATTAAGTGTCCTGTTTGGTTTTATTGTCGCTCTTGTTGTGCATGTGTTTTACCGTGCGTGTGCGCGGTGGCTCCTCTGGGATTAAGGACAGAAGAATAGCAGCAGCGGTGTGAAACCGAGAAAGTGTTGGCTCCCTGCTTCATCTTCCTGTCCCTGTGCCCCCCCCACACATCCACCACATTTCCTCTAAATAGGCCTCACGGGACTTCAAAATGTCTGCACATCTGTCCGCCGGTCAGTCAATCTGTCTCTGTTTGTTGGGGTTTTGTTTGCCAAAGAGAGGATCAGCATTTTGGGAATATGTTCCTTGTCCTCTGGGGGTTCGGGGATGAGAGCTCAGATACTACGGCGCTCTCGGGGGGGGGGGTTCAGTTACTAAACAGAAATGGTTCCTCACTACACTGCCAAGCAAATACCGCCATAGTATTCCTTTACTATTTGCCCATATTTAAGATAAATTGTATTGCAAAAAGACCTCTTACCAATGAGTCTCTAAGCCAAATCAGTCCAAAACCCAAAAGAGAGCAGATCATTGCAGTTACAGTGAAATTCATTTATGGTAACTGAATCTCTGACAGGGAGACTAAATCCAAATCTAAATCCATGGTTTTCACGGTGACATCTGAAGGCCTTTATGTTATGAGGACAGATGTTATGTTCTCAATGTCTAAATCGGGGGGTTTTACCGCAGTTTGTTAACACAGGGCCTCTTAACAAATTGTTTACGGCATCTGTTCTTGTGTTGAGGCGTAAAAAGAATTGCAAAAACCTGCAAAGGAGCCACATGACTGCAGATGGAAAAGGTGGGAAATGATGATTACTTACAGTGTGCGGCGCTATTAAGCCCCCGATCGGGGCGTTTAACGTTAATTGTGGTACATGGCTGTGATTATTAAAGAAATAATTTTCCTTAGCTATGCACATAGCTTCATAGGGGGTCATTTTTCCGATTAAGGGCAGAAAAATTGAGTTAAGTGCTACAAAAGTACCCGAAATTGACAAAAGAAAAACCTAAAAACATGTCATCACATGGAAAGTATTGCTATTTCTAAAGTCAATTGCTAACATTCAATCCCTGAACCCAAATACAATTCAAGTTAAGAGTTCCTTTTTAATGATACTGTACACTTCTCCTATGATCAAATTAAACTGACAATGCAACAGGTTGACATCCAGTAGGTCAATGAGAGTCTCCATCAACACGGTCATGAAGTAACGGGCTTTGTCCTGCTTTCAGCATGCCTGCCCTCATTATGCTGTGTGTGTGTCTGTGTGTGTGTTTGCATGAAAAGTTGGATATAGGTCAGACCAGTGTGCATGCATGGCTTTGTGTGTGTGTGTGTGTTTTGTGTGTGTGATTTTGAGTGTTGAAAAGGCGCACTAATCTTTATCCATATAACAAGGGAAAACAATGACTGCACACACACACACGCACGCACACACACACACACACACACACCCCTGTCCCTCCTGCTGCTCTCAGCATCACCCCACTGAGGCAGCAGCACAATTCCCAGAAACAGCCCTCCATCCAGAACACACACATTATAGATTCCTATCGGTTGTGTGTGTGTGTGTGTGTGTGTGTGTGTGTGAGCGAGTGCTGCACGTTTTACACGTGTGTCGGCGTGTCTAACGTTTGTATGAGCTAAGTGCTGCAGGACAATGGTGGGACGCGGTGGTTGGGACGTGCCCGTGTGTGTGGACAATGTTGATGACCACACACACACATGGAGGGGATGTGTGTGTTTGTTTTTTCTGTAAACCTGTGTCTTTTGTTTGTCCCTCTGGTTGTTTTCATGTGCACACAGAATGCAATGTCAGCTCATTTTTGACTGTTTGTTTGCGTGTGTGCTAGTGATCACGTGACCTTGTCTAATATATGCACGAGTGTGTATGGGATGAGTGATAACTTGTGTTGTTTTGCTGTCCATTTACAGTGTAATAAGTGTGTGCTTGTGCAAAGGAGAAAGTTCCACACACTCAGTGCATCCTTTCGTTATCCGTTATCTATCTATCTATTATTCTCTTGTCTCAATATATTTGGACTCTTGGAGTAAACTGCTTTGACGTAATTGTTAAAACACGAACTGGAAAACCCTTCTTTACTCTCTGCTGTATTCTAACCCTACAACCAGTGTAAATACTTCATTATACACTATACTATATACACTAACTATAAGAATACATCAACAACAATTCATTTGATGGACAACGTGTACGTCACATCTACTCTACATGACTCACTAATATTATTAGTCTAATTCATTTACACATTCGCTGAGTCTGCGATTTTTCGGCCAGCTGTGCCTTTTCAACGCTGTCTACACAAATGTACTTAGGTGCTGTTTGTTGTTGTTTTTGTTGTTAATTTTCTTGCACTATGTTGTCTTACTGTCTGATGTTATGCACCAACCGCCAATTTGTAGTGCGGATGGAGATATTTTGTTTCATGAAGGTCGAGTGAACAAAATGTGGTATTACTATATGTGCAGACGAGGCCTCGGTCTAATTGGCTCGGTTAGAGCGCTCTAATCACACGGTGATTCATAATCATCGTGGGGGGATTCATTAGTTTTAGAAAGCAGCGGCCTGCGTAAATGATTGATGCTACTGAACGATGACTAGTTTTGGGAATTTAACCAACTGCTCATATACATTCACACACAAAACTGCATGTAAGTGCCTGACAAACCCAGAGAAACACACACACACACACACATACACACTCTCTTGCTTTGCGCTCAGTGATTCCCTCCCTCAGTCTTTAACATTTTTGGAATAGTTGCAGCGACCACAGAATACTTTCCCAACTTCTGTGGCCGACTAAACTGGAGGCTCTGCATTTGCTCACTATCAGTCCTTCCTCTCACCCCTTCCTCCTCCTCTAAATCTGTCACTTACATATTTGTCTCTCCATCCGTCCCAGCTTGACTCCTGTTTTCTCCTATTTCCTTGTTTTGGACAAATGTTGCCTTTTTTTTCCCGTTTAGTGTGTCTGTCCTTTTAGCAATCCGTCCGATACTTAAAACTACTCGGTTTACATTTAGCAAGGATACAATTGTTGTCATGAATGTTACTGATCTTTAGAGAAGCAAACGTAATTCAAGTGACTCTGTGTGTGTTTCAGGTCTGCATCAGAAACATCAGCAAAAAGCTCCACATAAACTGCTCCTTGTGCGCTCATGAAAAGGCCCTTTTTGTTTGCAGTAGCTGCTGTGTGAGCTCATGCAGCTCAGTTAGTTACTCGGTAAGTTTTGTAAAAGTTCTCTACCATTTGTTTGGTCAGTACTGTTTCTCTTTATTTATTTTTTTACAGTGTCTCTGTTTTTCTAAACAGCTGTAGCCCACAGTTCCATTTAACAAAATAAAAACAGTGTTTTAGCTGAATTTTTAATGAGGGCCTGCATGGGACCTTTTTGTGCTGAGCAGACAAAATGCGTACCGTGGAGTGGAGTAATGTTTTTTTTTTTCCATCATCACAGATACTTAGCTCTGCTTTAATTAATGA